ACTACACTGTATTGCCAAAAGTAATGAGACGCCTGCCTTTACACGCACATGAACTTTACTGGCATCCCAGTCTTAGTCCATAAGGTTCAATATTGAGTTGGCCCCACCCTTTGCAGCTATAACAGCTTCAACTCTTCTGGGAAGGCTGTCCACAAGGTTTAGGGTGTGTGTCTATGTGAATGTTTGACCATTCTTCCAGAAGCACATTTGTGAGGTCAGGCACTGATGTCAGATGAGAAGGCCTGGCTCACAGTCTCCGCTTTAATTCATCCCAAAGGTGTTCTATCGGATTGAGGTAAGGATTCTGTGCAGTCAAGTTCTTCCACCCCAAACTCACTCATCCATGTCTTTATGGACCTTGCTTTGTGCACTGGTGCGCAGTTTGGGGATGGAAGGGACCATCCCCAAACTGTTCCCACAAAGTTGGGAGCATGAAATTGTCCAAAATGTCTTGGTATGCTGACACCTTAAGAGTTCCCTTCACTGGAACTAGGAGGCCAAGCCCAACTCCTCATAAACAACCCGCACCATAATCCCCCCTCCGCCAAGCTTTACACTTGGCACAATGCAGTCAGGCAAGTACTGTTCTCCTGGCAACCGCCAAACCCAGACACATCCATCGGATTGCCAGACAGAGAAGTGTGATTCATCACCCCAGAGAACACGTCTCCACTGCTCTAGAGTCCAGTGGCGGCGTGCTTTACACCACTGCATCTGACGCTTTGCATTGCACTTGGTGATGTAAGGCTTGGATGCAGCTGCTCCGCGATGGAAACTCATTCCATGAAGCTCTCTGCACACTGTTGTTCTAATCTGAAGGCCACACAAAGTTTGGAGGTCTTTAGAGGTCTTTAGCTATTGACTCTGCAGACAGTTGGCGACTTCTGCATACTATGCTCTTCAGCATGCGCTGACCGCGCTCTGTCATTCTACGTGGCCTACCACTTTGTGGCTGAGTTGCTGTTGTTCCCAGTTGCTTCCACTTTGTTATAATACCACTAACAGTTGACCGTGGAATATTTAGTAGCCAGGAAATGTCACGGATGGACTTATTGCACAAATTCTTTCACAAATGTTTGTAGAAGCAGTCTGCATGCCTAGGTGCTAGATTTTATACATCTGTGGCCATGGAGGTGATTGGAACATCTGAATCCAATGATTTGGAGGGGGGGGGTCCCAATACTTTTGGCAATATAGAGTATATTACAGAGGGGATGCTGTAAAAAATTATATTTATTTTGCCCTTAAGCTTAGTTTACACTTGTTATTAGGGGATAGTAAAAACACATGGCTGAGCTGCATTTTTACTGCCCCCCAACTGTTCCCTCTGAGTTGCGAATGCAGTTGTGTGGGGGTATACACGTTTTGCATTCATGATGCTTTACATTGCTGTAGGTCAAAAATTATTCCCACCGTTGCATTCAGTGGGCAATATTGCCTGTGTATTGTGACTCATTCAAATGAATGGGCCAGTGCCGCAACCACCCCTGCAACTGCGTGCAAAGATTTGTCCAGTTTCATGCAGAATTTAATGTTTGCTCTTTGTGGTAGCTTGCTGTCTATGATGAAATAGCAGACGTGGTACCGCACATGGTCAGAATAGCACCAGTTGCACAGCTCCCAATGTACACAGGATGATGTCTTTTGGCACACTGAGTTATGAAGGTCGATGCTCCCTGTGACTGTGTGTGCTGTTATCTGTTAGCATGTTACAAATCTAGTCTCAAAACTTTTTGATACCACCCACGTAGTGGCACAAATTGCCATAAAAACTTGACAGGGCACCTATCTATTCATTGTATCCCAAACATAAAAAAAAAGGTTTTGCCCAGAAACATACTTTAACCCCTTCCTGTCGACCATACGCATATATGTGGCCTCATGGGAGTGGGCTTTTATCCGTGGGGCCTACCTCTCTTTGAGCTGGGAGTGACCTCCACTGCACGCTCCCAGCACTGGGACCTTACACACTAACGATTGGGACCCAGGACTCCCAGTTCTGGGTCACTTGACTACTGTAATAGCCTCTGATTGGCTGTCACAGTGATCAGTCACTGTGCAGCCCGCTCTTATGTTTACTTCCTCTTCTGAATGAAGAGAAAGATACATTGTACATTGTAAAGATACATTGTATCTTTCTCTGCTTTCAGGTGAGGAAGATATAAACAAACAAAAGTGTAGGAAAAAAAGACTAAAATAGCTAGACTGAGGTTTGATCCAGGTCAGTGCCAGGATTAGTGTTAGGGTTAAGGTCTGGGTCAAGGTCTGGGTCAGTATTTTTTAAACAGTTTTAAAATTTGTGTTAGTGTCAGTGTGTTTTAGGTAGGCTAAAAAAAGGAAAAATGCAAACTACTGGTTCTGGGCCCTACTACGGGTACAAATAACATACACATATGTGGTTTGGCTGGGATTGTCAGAGGAAGGAAAATGTATTTTGCATTGTTCTTTGGTGGAAAATTATGGTAATAGCAAGAAATACACAGCTACATTTAAATGATATTGTTTTCCTTAATTTTACCAAGTTTTCCTTCTAAAATAATTTAAAAAAAATCAGGAGATATCCATTACCATTTACCAGTAAAAGAAAACCCAGTTTGTCCTGCAAAAAAGGCATCATCCACCTGGATACACAAAGTAGTTTTACTAATGTAGCACCCCTATAGTTAACCAGGGGGAGCTAGACTAGGTTTTTAGGAAGAGACTGAATAGCAGCCTGGGCATGAGTCAGCCTGGGCTTGACTCAGCCAGGTCACCTGGGGTCAGGACTGCCTTTAGGTATAATTGGGCTTGATCGCCAGGAAGTGAGTCAGAGAGTGTGTGTTGGGTGGAAGATGGAGTAGGAGGCTAGAGCGTAGAGCCTGGGAGGGAGCCCAGGGGGCCTACCTACAGGCAGGTGCTCCAAGAGGGAACCTTCACTGTGCCGTGTAGCAGGAGGGACAGCCTGAGCAGCAAGGAAGGAGCCAGCCCAACAAAAGGCCTGAAGGCAGCCACCAACCCATAAAGCTATCAGGAAAGGACAGTATGTAACCTTACACCCTTTGGGCCAGATAAGGGGAGATGGCAGTCAGGTGGAGAACCCAACTAGCTCCTCAGCCAGGACTGTTTGATTTTGGGCAGCTTCTGGATCCTCTTGCCCAGGGAATACCCTTAGTAGTGCTGGTTGAAGAGGAGGATTTATCTGGGGTTTGAGGAGGTACACTGGAAAGCAGGAGTGCTATCAAAGAAGTGAAAGATTTTGCTTCATGTCCATAGACTTGGACATAGTTTGTCCTCGCAGTTCACAGTTCCTTGGGCATCCCATGTATCCCTCAACCCCATCCAAGTTTATTATCCCTAAATAAAATCACAAAAACAAGCCCAAGGACTGGTTACTGTGTCAGTATGCAAGCGTGGAAGAAGATGCATGTTGCCTGGCTGTGCAGGACTGTAGGGGGACCCAAAAATGCAACGACTGCTAAAGGGGTAGTGCTACTCTAACACATGCCAAAGCTGCAAAATTGTGTTCAGGCATTAACATTTGTTTTACTCTCTGCCACTAAGTGGTTAAGTAAGAGACAAACAAATTACATATTAAAGCGGTGTTAAACTTAAAAAAGAAAAATATTATATTGCAATTTACCAATTCTTAGACGTGGTGGCTTCATTAGGTAGTATTTAACGGGAGTTTGGCTTCAATTTGTTAGTGTATCTAAATCTGCTAGTACATCTAAAACTACCCTCTCCTCAGACCGACAATTGCTGCTGTCCAATGACATTTCTATTGCTCCTCCTTCCAGAATGGAGACCCTAAGGCAGAAAGTGTCTTACTGGCTAGAAAACTAATGCAGCCAGCAAACTGGTAAGCTGCAATATATAATATTTTTTTTGTTTTGGGGTTTAAGACTGTTTTAACTCCAGCTAACATTTTTAAACAGTTACACCAGTGGTCTACAAACTGTGGCCCATGGGCCGGATATGGCCCTTTGCTTGCCTTTATCTGGCCCTTGTGGCATTATTTCTTTCACTGATATGAGGCACTATTTATCCCACTGACACCAAAATGGGCACAATTCCTCTCACTAATACCAGTGATGGGGCACTATTCCTCCCACTGACACCAATGATGAGGCACTATTTTTCCCACTGACACCAATGATGGGGCTCTATTACTTCCACTGACACCAGTCATGGGGTGCTATTCCTCCTACTGCAACCAATGATGGGGCACTATTCCTCCCACTGACAACAATGATGCACTATTCCTCCCTCTGACACCAACAATGGGATGACATTCCTCCCACAGACACCAATGATTGGGTGCTATTCCTCTCATTGACACTAATGATGGGACACCAGTCCTCCCATCAATATCAATGATAGGGCACAATTTCTCCTCCTACTGACCCCAGGCGCTACTTTTTGTAATTTATTTACTCCTTCTGACCACTAAGCCTGAACCATTATTTACATTGGCTCTGGGGCATTTTCTACTCCCAATGTCTATAGTCTGCCCCCCCCCTAATGTCTGAGGGAAAGTGAACTGGCCTTTTGTTTGAAGACCCCTGAGCTAGACAAACATTTTTTTTCATGTCTTAAGCTTTATAAAAAAAGGTTGTAAATGCTTAGATTGTAAGCTCCATGAGCAGGGCCCTCCAATTCCTTCTGTATCGAACTGTATTGTAATTGTATTTTCCCCCTTACATTGTAAGGCACTGAGTAAACTATTGGCGATATATAAATCCTGTATAATAGTAAGCATCCCCCACCTGTATGGTTTGTCCCACTTCTTTTAATTGCTGCTTTTTGCCGGACAGCTTGGCCTGCTACAAAAAGTGGAAAGATAATGGACCTACTGTCAGAATCAACAGGTAATACAACTATGTTACAAGGGGGCTCAGAAAACCAAAGGCTGCTTTGCAATTGCTATTGATAGAGTACATTACGTATATGTCTAATTTTTTATTTTGCCTATTGTTACATTTTAAGAGTTTTTTGAATTTTTTGTTTTCACGTTATCTTTTATCCTCCCTGGCGGTATTCCCGAGTGTAGCTTGGGGTAAAGTTTCAGTACCACAAACGGTAACCCGAGCTACACTCGGGATTACCCTGCAGCGTTGCTCCGGGATCCCTCGACCACTTACCTTCTCCTTCGCTCCCGCGATGTCCCTCCTGCAGTGTCCCCGGCAATGTCCTCCGGCCGATGCCGGCATCAGTCTTCCGGGTTCCGTTCCCTGCGACGTCGGGACGTACGGGGACGGAACGGCGGGAAATTTAAAAATGTGAAAAAGTGACATTCACTAAATACGCTAAAATCACATAGTAAAACATTACTGTATCAAACCATTTCACATACATTTTGTCCCGAGTGCTTTGTCCTGTGCCCTGCCTGCATTTTTACTGTTCTTTCTGCCTGGAAACTGGGAAACGTCCATGGCATCCAAAAAGCGTCCGTTTAGGTTAAAATTGGTTTTAGACCGGCTAGAGAACAGCGATAGTAAATCAGAACCACTTGCAGAATTGAGTGATAATGATTCGTGGGGAAAATTTGTCATCAGACACTGAAAGCAATTTTGAACCTAAGCTCAGTGATGTGCGAACTTGGCGAACTTGGCGAACTTGGCGAACTTGGCGCTCTATTTCACATTTCAGTGTTTTTGGTTAAAATGGTTTGAATAAAATGTATTATTATTATATTATTATTTTTTTATGATTATTTATTATATTATAATTTATGATTTTGTGTTTCAAATTTTAACATACCCGGGATGTTTACTAGACTCTTGTTTGGACAGATTTTAGTGAGTTATTCCTAAAAATTACAGACCTACAATAAAAAAAATTACATATTTCCATGCAAAAAAATGTACCACTTTGAGCACAGAAATATGGACATAATCAGACTGCTAGGGAGGCTATGGGGTTAACCCAAGACTGGGGAGGAAAGAACCAGACAAAATGTTCAAGAACTTCAAGTCCATTCAGTACTCCACTGGAGGGCCTTTATTTACTGAGTGAAACTGTCATTGACACCAAATGAGATAAGTGTGCAGATGCTTGCCGTTCTATCAATTTCAAGCCCCAGTGACAATCTCAGCTGGCTCCTCTGTCCGTTGGGAGGTGGAGATCCCTCTACATTCACATATCACACACAGGTTAGTGAAAACTTCCCACCACCAGCCTCTCTGCAAGGCGCCGCCACTGTGAAATGATATTAACTCGGCTTAATGATGTGTAAATGTGTCAGGACAATGCCACCTAGTGTCATCAATGCCTCCGTCTTTGTATGAAGTCTCGGTGACTGAACCACAGCAAGTCGGAGTATAATTACCGCTAATGTGTTTTTTTTTTTTGCTTTGGCACAGCATTCACTTGCAGCAGTCAAATAACTATCTGGTGTAGGAGAATTAAAGCAGAACTCTGATAAGCAAAGCCAAATTTAAAGGGAATCAGCTGCTGTGGAAATGTGAGCATTCTGTCCTTAAAGGGTATCTCCACTTTTGTGGGAAAAAATATTAAAAAATAATAAAAAGAAAACAATATACAATTGTGACACAAGCAATATTGTAATATTACATTACTAAAAATTACCTTTTCTTTTCAATCTGCAGCACTGTAGTTGTCTGTAAAATTCAAAGCAATATGGCTACCTGGAGGTGTGGTGTGCAGAACACCCTCCCCCCCAGAAATGTAATTTCCTGCAGGTGTATTTTGACCTCCATACACAGGTGGCGCTGTGTGCAACTACCATTTAGGGAGAGAAGGAGGAACTCATGTTCATGGACCTCCATAGGTGTCATCAGGTGAGCAGCTGTAGGATTGGATACTGCTGCCCCCGGATGACCTCCGTGGTCATCTTTAGTGAGGGTAGTGTTTATAATAGGCATTGGTTCCCTGCAGTTACCTAGTTAGTCTGGCTGAAAAAAGACAAAAGTCCATCCAGTTCAACCATAAAAAAAAAAAATTATAATCCTATACCCACAGTTAAGAGGAAGGCAAATAAAATCAGCAAAGCATGATCCAATTTGCTCCTACAAAAAAAATCCTTCCTGATCCCCTGAGAGGCAATCGGATATTCCCTGGATCAACTTTACCTATAAATGTTAGTATCCAGTTATATTCTGTGTATCTAAGAAAGAATCCAGGACTTTATTAAAGAAATCCACTGAGCTGGCCAGAAGAACCAACTCTTGAGGGAGTCTATTCCACATTTTCACAGCTCTTACTGTGAAGAAACCTTTCCATGTTTGGAGATTAAATTTCTTTTCCTCCAGATGTAAAGAGTGCCCCCTTGTCCTCTGTGATGACCTCAGGGTGAATAACTATACACCGAGTTCACTATATGAACCACTGATGTATTTATACATGGTGATCATATCCCCCCTTAATCTCCTCTTCTCAAGAGAGAATAAATTCAGTTCCTCTAATCTTTCCTCATAGCTGATCTCCTCCATGCCTCTTATCAGTTTGGTTGCCCTTCTCTGTACTTTCTCCAGTTCCCCAATGTTCTTTTTGTCAATTGGTGCCCAAAACTGAACTGCATATTCCAGATGAGGTGTTACTAATGATTTGTACCGGGGTAATATGATATCTCTCTCTCTGGAGTCTATACCTCTTTTAATACAAGAGAGGATTTTGTTCACTTTAGAAACATTTTGCATGTGGTTAGGATAGGGACAGACACCCACTGGATAGGGAGAGTGTGCAAAACGCAGGGAAAGGTTCCAGAGGAGGAAGGACAATTTAGGGACCATAGCGCTGCTGTGTGCAACCTTCCTGATTCTAGTGCCTTGTTGCATACTGCCCTGCTAGCCGCCTCCTGTGCCAGGTGCTGTCAGCATTGCTCTCTGCAAGTCCAGCATATTCATCTGTCAGTGTTTCTGCCAGTCTGTAGCCTCTGCATAAACGTTGTTACAGTGTGGTTGTTCTTTACAATACACTTCCTTGAAATTCCAGACCTCCGTGTGTCGTTCATTCTCTCTCTTGAGTGGCTACCACCTGGCCATACTCTTGCCTACACATTGATTTTCCCAGAAGTCTGCACTAAGATACAAGTCAGATTTTGGGCATCCCCTGCAGCAAAAATATGATTTTTGGTGAGATACTCCCAAAAGGAAATGACTTCTAAAGGGGTGCAGACCCTGAAACTTTCCACATCAGAGCCTTGCAAGTACAGCAGTTGATTGATAATTATAAAGTCACTCCCATTCACTTTCACTCTGCACATGGACACAAACAAACAGCTCTTTCTTCAGAATAGCAAAATGTAAGACTCTGCAACAAAGTTTGTTAAAATCCTTGCAATGTACATAGATCACCCAGAGGGGATTGTTTTTTTTCTCAACCAAAGTGGAGTTGTTCTTTAAAATATTATCACTCTACTGGTTTGCCTATGAACTGCTTTCCCGCAGCCCTATAGCAGAAATACTGCTACAGGACAGCAGGGCTGTGCAAAATCGCATATATATACATGATTTTGCATTTCCAGGTAGGGGGTGTGTGCGCACCGCACGTGTGCCCTACCCACACCACCATTGGCAGCTTCAGCTGACGATCACCAGGTCCTGGACGGAGATTCCCCGCAGGCACCCGGCAATCGCCGAGTATCACTGATGGGGGAGAGGTCTGTATTTCAACAATACAGATCTCTCTCCTGTCAGCCCCTGTATGCTGCTTTGTATTGCTCTGCATAGCAGAGCAATACAAAGCAGCGTGCTTACACAGTAAAACACACACACAGCACACAATAAAACAGCACACAGTTAACCCTTTGATTGCCCCAGATGTTAACCCCTTCCTGTCCAGTGTCATTAGTACAATGTCAGTGCTTTTTATTAGCACTGATCACTGTATAAGCATCACTGGGGATGTCAGTGACAGTCAGCCCCCCCCCTCCAGTGTCAGAATGCCCACCGCAGTCCCGCTATAAGTCGCCTCCATTTCTAGTAAAAAAAATAAAAATCCCAGTATATATACCGCCATTTGTAGATGTTAGAACTTTCACGTAAACCAATTTATTTACACGTATTGAGATTTTTTTTAGCAAAGACATGTAGCAGAATAAATTTTGGCCTAAATTTATGATGCAATTTGATTTTTAAATATTTTTACTAGATGTGTTTAATAGCAAAAAGTAAAAAAAAAAATGTAGTTTTTTTTATCAAAATTGTCGTTCTTTTTATGTTTAGAGCGCAAAAAATAAAAAATGCAGAGGCAATCAAATACCACAGAAAGAAAGCTCTATTTGTGGAGAAAAAAAGGACTTACATTTCATTTGGGTGCAGCGTAGCATGACCGTGCAATTGTCAGTTAAAGTAACGCAGCTCCGTAACGCAAAAAATGGCCTGGTCAGGAAGGGGGGTAAATCCTCTGGAGGGCAAGTGGTTAAAGTGTTACTAAACCCAGGACCCTGCATTCACTATATATGGTCTCCCAGGACCTGCATTCACTATATCTGGTCTCCCCGGACCCTGCATTCACTATATCTGGTCTCCCGGACCCTGCATTCACTATATATGGTCTCCCCGGACCATGCATTCACTATATATGGTCTCCCCGGACCCTGCATTCACTATATCTGGTCTCCCCGGACCCTGCATTCACTATATCTGGTCTCCCTGGACCCTGCATTCACTATATCTGGTCTCCCTGGACCCTGCATTCACTATATATGGTCTCCCCCGGACCCTGCATTCACTATATCTGGTTTCCCACAGTACACAGAACATGGAAATGCAATTATTTTAGTAAATATAAACTGCTAAATACCTTTTCTCATCAGCAGTATATAGTAGTCTTGTGACATCTATCAGAGTCCAGCAAAGCACTGGCTAAAGGTTGTAGGAGGAGTTTTATTCTCCTCTGATTGTCATATGAGGCTGCATAGACCCCTCACCCTCTGTCTGGACAGTGCTGATTGGCCCTGTGCTGATCACATGCACTCTCCCAAGAAAAAAAAAAAAACTCTCTAGCAATACACACCAAACTAAGCATGTGCAGCTTGCCCCCAATGTTCTATCCCATCAGCAGATAGATTGGGGACAGTAGAAGAAGGGGAGAATCAAAGAAGACAGGATCAAACAGCCTTTTTACACAATGTGGAGGGTTAACCACTTAGGTTCCCCAATGAGTAGCAGAAGCATGCTTTACTGCATATACAGACCTATTTATTCCATTATATTGTATATTTACTTAGTTTGTCAAAGGAGGACATAAGTTGGATCCAAGAGTAGGACATAAGATGCCCATTGAGGTCTAACATTTGGGCAAATGGGGAAGTACCACCATAAGGCCCCCCACCTCCTCTTTGACATTTGGCTTTTTTTTTGGGGGGGGCATCTGGTTTTAACAGGTACCCGCTCCCACTTCTGCTCTGAACTTCCGATGTGATGATCTAATTTGGAGTGACATTAAAGGTAGCATTATTGTTAAAAATTCATCTGTAGTGTTTTATCTTGTTCCCAGCCATTGAGAACCCAAAAGTGAGATAGCCTAATTTCTTCATAGCCTAATTCAGCTAATTTTAGGAAATATATCTCAGTGCAGGAATTAATGTTTAAACTCGTTAAACTCCTGCACGCATGATGGGGCCCTAGTTGGTGCACATTTGGGTTGAGGTCCCTTTTTATGTAAAAGCATAATTTCCTGAAGAAGAAAAGGCACAGTAGTAGGAAAATGTCCTCCTTGACTGATGGTGTCAGAACTAGACGGGGTCCCTTTGAGGATTTAGGTGAAGACAATGGGCAGTAGTAGACTCCAGTAGAATTTGTATTCCAAGTAGGGAATTGGCTTGGAGAAGAAAGTGCCTTTACTATTATAATATATTGCAGATGAGATATCAACAGTGTCACTGTCCACAAAGACACATGCATTGCAGGAAGAGCAATGGGGGGGGGGGCACTAAAGCTGTATGCCACAGTACTGAATTGGGCTAGGAAGTCTGTGTTCCAAGTGGTGGACTGTGATTCAAGTGTACTGAACTGAAATAACTGAGAAAACAGTAGGTCCTCTGAAGACAATTTGGTTTGTGGGACCCTCTCACCCAGTCTGTAGCCTTAACAGAGTAAAGAATGGTCGCACAGTTGGGGGGGCCCCCTTGTCCTCTCAGTCTTTCTGACAACAAAACAATACTGGTCACAACTCCACAATTGTCAGCAATACCAGCAGTCTGTAGTCCTTTTTTCCATCTCTTTGATTTGATCCGATCCGGCCTTGACCCTCGGCATCCTGTGCCCGCACCCAACACCCGTACTTAGCCTCACACAGTCTCTTTCCTCCCTCCAGGAAGTTCCTGGGCTTTTTTATTATATAGGCTCCCACCCCTTTGACAGCTCTTGTGGGAAATGTAGTCTTCTTACAGTCTGTCCAGACACATCAGTCCTGCTTTCAGCATACAAGTTCAACAATGCTTTGCTATACTCAAGTCTGTAATGGCTAAACTGTGAAACACCGCCATCACCGTCAATCAACATCCTGCAAACATTAACAGTGCAGTGTGCTACAATATTTACTAAAATATTTGCATTTCCATGTTGTGTGTACTGTGGAAGACCGGATATAGTGAATGCAGAGTTCTGGGTTTATTAACACTTTAAGTTACCATTCATTTAAATTTTTATTTTTCGGGAAATGTTTGGGGTCTTGGTACAGAGTCAAAGCTCCTGAAAATGAAGGTCCCATAGACAATTAGTTTCTTTATTATAGTGACCATAATAGTATCAGGCACAGATCTGCAGTTGTTTTCATTTCTCTTACCTACACTGCAATATTATGCAATGCTGTTATGCACATTAAGAAGCCATTAGGCTCAATTCAGAAATTTAACACACAGGATAAAGAAACTTATTTTTAAAAATAAGTGACAAATATTTTCAGTTGAGTCTAGTGAGATTTTAAAATTACAGTCACATGGCTAAAAAATCAATGACTTAGGCTCGTGTACAGCTTTGTGAATTGAACCTATTGTGTATTATTAGCGCAAGACCAGACATTTGGCCAAGCAGTAGTTGTCAGTTCTAAGGTGTTCTCTTACCTCTAAAGTTAGCCATAAACTGTGAAATGGCTGAAATTCCAACCATGGGCAGCCCTGCCGACACCACCTAGCTTCACAAACTTTGATCAAAAAAATAAAAGAGCTGGCTGAAAAATTGTAGGATGAACAGTAACTGTTTGGATACTCTGACAGCTGAGGGTATTGAGTGGTTTATTTAATTCAATCTGCTGTCCTGAATGGGGAGAAATCTAAAGCTAGCCATACATGGATTGAAGCTTGGCTGGTTTGACGGGACATGCTGGAAAATTTTGCTTGATCAGTGGCTGTAGACATTGGTCAGTGTATGTTAATTTTTATAGTGGTGGGTCCTGCTGTCGAATACAATGTCCCAGTGTGTGTGTGTGGGGGGGGGGGGAGGGGTATTCCTCCATCTACCTCATTTGTGTGTTGGCTGAATGAAAGAAAAAAACTAATCATGTATGGCCAGCTTAACTCCCTAAGCCTAATGGTCTTCATCAGCCAAAAATCTAAATTACAGGATCACTTGTGCAGAATAACATACATGTAATAAAAGTAGACCCTATACTTACCTTTCCAGCAGACCATTTGTTGAAATTCTGCCTCGTTGCTGCTTGCCAGCCACTGCAGGTATTCAATGGCTGGATGAGTACCTGCTCCCCCACTGCACACTGTGGCTCCTTCCACTGGCTTGTACGTCCCGTAGTGACAGAGGAGAAGGCAGGATAAACCATAGTGTGTGATGGGGGAGCAAGTATTCTAAGTGTGGAATACATGTAGCAGCTGAAAGCACCGAAGCTGAGTTTCAACAAACAGGTCTCATGACTGTTTTACTTTAAAGGGTTAGTCTACCTGAAACCAATATTACATTTTTAAGTAAACGTTGTCAATTTAAAGTACATGTAAACCCATTCAATAAAATAGCAAATAAGTGTAACATTACCCCTGAAGGAGCCGCTTAGTAATTTAGGTTCTCTGTTCTACATTTTGACTCCAAGAACAACCTCAGTCCCTTCTGATACAACTGGTTGAATGAAAGTTAATGCTAGCACTTATAAGAACACAATTATAGATACCTTTAACTTGGTTGTGAATGAGAAGCAGAAAATAGACACAAGACTGTTTAGTGATAAATGACCCCACTGTGTTAGTACGGGTTAGAATAAATGGTGGTTTGAGCATAAATGAGCATACAGAAGGTAGGATCAGATACAGTGGGAGATTTACTAAAACTGGTGCATTCAGAATCTTGTGCAGCTGTACATGGTAGCCAACCAGCATCTAAATTAGGTTGTTCAATTAAGCTATGACAATAAATTCTGGAAGCTGATTGGTTTCTGTGCAGAGCTACACCAGATTTTGCACCATACAGTTTTAGTAAATAACTTCCACAGTCTGCTAGACAGTACAATCCCTATGCCTGAGTAACGTAGAATAGAGTTCTATACCACTAGACTGGGATTAACTCATGAATCAGCAAAGTCAGCAATAAACAGTGCATATGCGCTTTAACTGCAATGTGATTAATAATACTATAATTAGCCTAGAGTGTCTTTTAGGAGATACAGTGCAATGTCTTCTGAGAGGTACCTCTTAGCTTAAGCAATAAGTAAAGGTCTCTGTGTAGCAGTTGTAGTCATTAGTCCTAACTCTTTAGTAGGGTTGGGGCCCAACTGTACCAGTGCACAAATGTCCTAACTCTGTGTAGCAGTTGTCGGCAGTCATTAGTCCTAACTCTTTAGTCGGGTTGGGGCCCAACTGTACCATTGGTGCACATGAGAAATGTCCGAGTTAAGTATGCACTCAGCAGTAAGGCTACTAGATGGCTGTATTGTCATTTCCAGGTGCGGACTGACAACTCATGAGGCCCACGGGCAATAGGGGATCATGGGGCCCCTGTGTCCTTGCCCAAACTCAAAAAAGCTTATGAAAAAGGTACCAGGGGCATCTCATTTGGCCCCCTACTGACCCCGGGTCCTCGGGCAGTGCCCAAATTTCCAAATGGTCAATCCGCCCCTAGTCATGTCCTAGAGTAATCAGTTTCTATAACAGCAGATTGTAAATCCCCACAGCAAACAGCTCACCAGTCCCAGCAATATTACAGCTCATCACCCGGTCACACACAGCAATTAGTCGATTCTCTTCTCTGCACGCAGGTGACTCTGTGTGTCAACACGAGCAAACTTAGCAACGCAGATCATGCTCAGGCTGTCAGTATGCAGCAGTGATGATGCACACTGGACAGCAATGTTCACTCCTTATGGCAAGAAGAATCTGTGTCCTGTACAGGCTGAGAAAATGCAGCTCTTTCTCCTGGCAAACTCTTTCTGGAAAATGCAGTTCAAAAGTTCTTTATTACAGTATAGTATTTCTCCTCAGGACTACAGTTCCCACAGTGCAGTGCTGTCTGACTCAGTTTATTGAGCTCTTTCTGCTCAGCTCAGCAGCTCCATTTTCCTGCTGATATAGCTGTTAACATGTTCAGCACTTCAGGGCAGCAACTACAGAGAGCAGCCACAGCCAGTGTTTCTCTCACTCTCTATACTTAGCCAAGCACCTGGCTACATAGGCTAATGGCATTTCAACAGTCATTTTCACAAATTGTAAATCTAAGTAAAATAATACCTGGTGATCCTATTTTAGCACTCTTCTAGT